GGCTACCCCTTCCCGCGGCGTGCTCATGCTCGCCTCCTTCTCCTCATCATCGTCCTCCTCCTCCTCCGCCTACTCCTACTCCTACTCCTCCCCTGCCTCCTCCTCCTCCTCCTCCCCAGTCTCCTCCTCCTCTTCCCCCTCCCCCTCATCATCATCATCATCATCCTCTTCCTCCTCCTCCTCCTCCTCCTCTTCCTCCTCCTCCTCCTCTTCCTCCTGACTCCTCCCCTCTTCCTCCAAATCTGCTCCGAAAACGAAACATGTTGGAAGAGAAAATGACCAAACCGCCTGAGACATCCCCACAAAATTCCGCGAACGGGACCCCGTGAAATACCCCCCCGCCGCCCCCCTTAGAGTGCTGAGACGAGCGAATCGCCTGAGACATCCTCCAAATCTGCTCCGAAAACGAAACATGTTGGATCAGAAAATGGCCAAACCGCCTGAGACATCCCCACAAAATTCCGCGAACGGGACCCCGTGAAATACCCCCCCGCCGCCCCCCTTAGATTGCTGAGACGAGCGAATCGCCTGAGTCTGAGTGATGACTGAGTCTGAGTGATGAGAGAGCATGAGTGAGTCTGAGTGATGAGTGAATCTGAGTGGGAACCCCATCTTAGGATATGGGGAATAACTTACGCGTGTGTCTGAGTGATGGGCGCGGCGTTCTGTCCTGTTCTGCGCCCTTCCGGCGCGGTCCGCCAATAACAAGAACCCCATCTTTGGATATGGGGAAAAACGCACCCAGTAGACACCGCCACTTCTATCGCCACTGAGGTTCTACCAAGCTATAGGTGTGGTCGAAAGTGTTAAGTTGTGGAGGACATAGATTGTCGCGTGGGCCGCGCCCCTCAGGGAGCTCCACCTGCGGCCCCAGAGACAAGTTTGGATAGCGTTCCCCCGCCAGCGTCGGCACACACGCCCCCTATCGTTCAACCCTCGCCTGCGCGCACAGCTCGTTTGAGCTCAGAAGTGTGTTTGGCCACCCCCTTCGCGCTTTGCTCGCATGGCGCACTACGAGGCGCCCACCGTGGACGCAGAGTCCCTGGAGGTGGCCCTCCAAGACCATGTTAGGAACCAAGGCTCCAAGCGAGCCTTCAATCTCTACAACTACCACACCCTCGGCAAAGACCACGCTGTGCACGCGCGCAGCCTTCACCTGATGGCACCATTGGCGGTTGCTCTTCAAAACGGCCTCTTCCCACCCCCATGGGGAGCAACGAAGAGATCTGACGTTGGGCTGACGTTGGTTGGTCGTCAGACCAAGTCGGTCTGACGTTGGTCTGACGTTGGTCTGACGTTGGTCTGACGTCGGTCCAATCGCTAGACCAACGCCGGACCAACGTCAGACTAACGTCAGACCAACGCCTCGATGATAAATAACAGATCTTTCAGGTAGAGGTCCTCATCAAAGCGTGCCCGAGTTGCGAGGTCAACTCCACGGTGGCGCGCCGCGCGCTGACGGGCGCGATCGCCAGGCGTTCGCGAGGAGCGAGGAAAGGAGGAAGGAGAGGGGGACAAAGGGTGGGGAATGCGGAGGGACAATGGCGCACGGCGACTATCGTCGGGAACTGAGGAGACAGAGGGGCTAGGAGGAGGGAGGAGGAGGAGGAGGAGGAGGAGGAAAGGAGAGAGGAACAGGAGGACTGCAGTGAGCAATGTAGCTTCGGAGCCGCAACCCTCGTCTAAAACGTCCGCGCCCGCCCCATTCAGCCCGCCCCCCCCCTCCCGACCTCGCATCTCGCTTTCCCGACCTCGCATCTCGCTTTCCCATCTTGACGAGGGGCGCGCAGAAACGTCATGCCCGCCCCCCCCAGGCAGCCTAACTGCACCACCGAGCCCATCAACAAGCCCCTGAAGGAGAGGGCCGGATCCCTCGCCGACAAAATCACCACGATCTACAAACACTTGAGGAGGCTGAAGAACAACGACGTTCGGCTTCGACAGGCGATAGGGGCGCCGGGCAGGATATTGGGGCAGAGGAGGACAAACTGGAGACACATCGATATGAAGCTAGGCAGCATAGGATGAAGCTGGAGGGGAAGTGATGGTGACGTCGTATTCCTTACTCTTGGCTTCCCCCCCTCGTCGCGTCTTCTGTATTCCCCTTCTCTTCGCCCAACGCCCCCCAGTCCTGTTCCATCCTGATTCATCCGACTTCCCCCATCGTGCCAAGGCCATCAGTGGCCTCAACGCTACCGAGCTGGACTCCATCCAGTATTTCCCGTGGCTGATGGGGAAGAACTGCGACCTCATCATGCCCCGCGCCAGCGAGGGCGACAAGGCCCGTCGCCAGCAGGGGGCGGAGGGGCGATGAGGAAGATGCATAACAGACGAGAAACGTTGGCAAGAGAGGAGAGAAGAGTGGAGAGAGGAGGGCGAGAGAGAGGAGGGTGAAAGGGGGAAGGATGGAGGTACGAGGACAAAAGGAGGAACTGAGCCTCGACCCGCGCAACCCGAGGCCGACTACCAGGACATGAAGATCCGCCAGAACGAGGACGAGGACGACCCCAAGTTCAGGGTGACGGACAAGGAGCTGAAGGCCCGAACGGGCATGCTTTTTTTGTCGCCCCCATCATTCCCATGCATCCCCTTCCCTATCCTCATCATCATGTCCCTCTCCTCGCTTCCCCCCTCTCCCTGGGCGTCGCGCCCTCGTGGCTCTGCCCTCCGCCCTCCACCCTCGTAACTCCGCCCTCCCCCTTTTCACCCTCTTCTCTCCGCCCTCCTCGTTCCGCCCTCCCCCTCCGCCCTCCACCCTCCGCCCTCCTCACTCCTCTGGCCATTTTCATCGCGCGTCTCCGATGCGCGCGAGGCGTGTCATCGTGCCCCTCCCTCTCACTCCCAACCTCGTTATGCTCGGGTTGTGGTTTAGTGCGCGGTATCATGCCCCACATGTTTCGCGGGGTTATGGTTTTCTTCCCTGCCGCGCCGCACCCGCGTCTCACACCCCCCCCTCCCTTTTCTCCTTCTCGCACAACACGGCGCAGCGCGGCACGGCGCGGCGCGGCACCGCACAGCAGCACAGCACAGCACAGCACAGCACAGCATACCACACAGGGCATTCCTTCGACGCCACAGGGGGTGGGGGTGCGCAGAGGGTGGTCCCTCAGCGCGGCCTCTATCCGTGACACGCTCGCAGATCGTGGCAGGCGCGGCACTGTCTCGACACCGCAGGGGGTGCGCAGAGGTGGTCCCTCAGCGCTGCCTCTATCCGCGACACGCTCGCAGATCGCGGCAGGAGTTGCATTTTCTCGAAGCCGCAGGGGGTGCGCAGAGGGTGGTCCCTCAGCGCGGCCTCTATCCGTGACGCGCTCGCAGATCGTGGCAGGAGTGGCATTGTCTCGACACCACAAGGGGTGCGCAGGGGGTGGTCCCTCAGCGCGGCCTGTATCCGTGACACGCCCGCAGATCGCGGCAGGAGCGACACTTTCTCGACGCCACAGGGGGTGCGCAGAGGGTGGTCCCTCAGCGCGGCCTCTATCCGTGACACGCTCGCAGATCGCGGCAGGAATGGCACTTTCTCGACACCACAGGGGCCGTGCAGAGGGTGGTCCCTCAGCGCGGCCTCGCTTCTATCCGTGACACGCTCGCAGATCGTGGCAGGCGTGGCATTTTCTCGACACCACAAGGGGTGCGCAGAGGGTGGTCCCTCAGCGCGGCCTCTATATCCGTGGCGCGCTCGCAGATCGTGGCAGGAGTGGCACTTTCTCGACGCCACAGGGGGTGCGCAGAGGGTGGTCCCTCAGCGCGGCCGCTATCCGTGACACGCTCGCAGATCGTGGCAGGGTGGCACTTTCTCGACGCCACAAGGGGTGCGCAGAGGGTGGTCCCTCAGAGCGGCCTCTATCCGTGACACGGTCGCAGATCGTGGCAAGAGTGGCACTTTCTCGACACCACATGGGGGTGCGCAGAGGGTGGTCCCTCAGCGCGGCCTGTATCCGTGACACGCTCGCAGATCCTGGCAGGAGTGGCACTGTCTCGACACCACAGGGGGTGCGCAGAGGGTGGTCCCTCAGCGCGGCCCTACCCGTGACACGCTCGCAGATCGTGGCAGGAGTGGCACTGTCTCGACACCACGGGGGGTGCGCAAGGGGGGGTGGTCCCTCAGCGCGGCCTCTATCCGTGACACGGTCGCAGATCGTGGCATGAGTGGCACTTGCTCGACACCACAGGGGGTGCGCAGAGGGTGGTCCCTCAGCGCGGCCTGTATCCGTGACACGCTCGCAGATCTTGGCAGGAGTGGCACTTTCTCGACACCACAGGGGGTGCGCAGAGGGTGGTCCCTCAGCGCTGCCTCTATCCGTGGCACGCTCGCAGATCGTGGCAGGCGTGGCATCTTCTCGACACCACAGGAGGTGCGCAGAGGGTGGTCCCTCAGCGCGGCCGCTATGCACGACGGTCGTCCAGGGCATAGCAGGCGCGGCATTTTCTCGACACCATTGGGGGTGCGCAGGGGGTGATCCCTCACCGCGGCCGCTGGCTGGCTCGAATCTGTCCTCGGCGGGGGATAGAAGGCTAGGAAGAGGGAGGAGGTTCAAGCAATATGGCGTTGGATGACACATAGGGGAACATTCGCGACGAGGGCTGAGAACGCAGAATTGCACATATATTATAAACTTAATCAAACACTCAATATTTAAGTTAAGTATGTGGGGTTCCTCGGTAGCGTAATTGTCCTCGTCGCCTCCACCCTTTCCCCCTCTGTCCTCGCCCTTGATTGCTGTGGTTCGATGGCTCTTATCATTCTCCGCGCAGGGCTGCGCAATTGCCTGGAAGAGCCCAGGAAACGGCATAACAAAAAACAGCACAAGAGGGTCTTCATCTTGAAGCTCTCCTGTGCCTGCGTTGTGTTTTGTTTGAGCCTTGGCATGGGCTCTCTTGGTGCATATTGTGCCCCTCTCCCCCATTCCCCCCTTCCTCCGCCTTTCCCCCCTCACCTCATCCCCCGCCGTGGCCATTTGGGCTTAAGGTGGGGATTCTATTGTCGAGGTGTCCCGAGGATGACCTCGGCGCATGCGCACGTCGCGCTGGCAGTATCGGCTTCCGAACTGCACTCCCTGGCGAGCGAATTCTTCATTCCAGAGCGATGGGCGCTCTTTAAGAGCCTTGCTCCGTGCAATGTGTTGAGGATGTTCGTGGAGTTCGCGATGCCGCGCCTCCCATCGCTCTTCGAGACCACCCGCGGGCCCTGCATGACAAACTTGGCCCTGATCGAGTTCGTGAACGATTCGCAGTGGGCCTTGGCAACGCACTGCGAGGCCACCAGCGGGCCCTCTTTGACGCGCGCCGAGACCCTCACGCACGAGTGGGACGTCACGGAGGAGTGCGGCTACCAGCGCCTGATGGGGCTCAGCTTGCGCCTGCGGAGGGGGGGCTTCGCTTGGTTCGAGCTCCCTGAGGACGCGTGGATGCCTTGGGACCAGGTTGGCTTCGAGCGCAGCGCGAACCTCCCCCTGGGCAACACGGAGCCTCCCAAGGTCGTCAAGGAGAACATCCGGATCCAGCGCTTGGCCACCATCGGCGCGATCGTGTGGCTGCGCGGCGGTCACCAAGCATGGGCCTATAGGCCAGTCAGCTACGCCCAGAAGAACCACTACTACGTTGCCTTGAGCAAGCTGGCGCTCAAACAGAAGATCTCTGTGTCGATCCCCGCCGCGAAGAACGGCCAGCTGAGGATGGACATATTCAGCAGCACGATCCACATCAAGAGCCTGTCGGGTGACACCCCCTCATCGACGACCTACCCCGTGTACAAGTCTACGGACAATTTCGTGGCCGACGTGGCGAACGCGGTGAAGGCAGCCTTCGAGGACGTGTCACCCCCTGGTGGCATTAGAGCATATTTCGAGGCCTCGGCCAGGCTCCCCCTCCTCCTTCTCCTCCTCGCCCTCCTCCTTCAAGTACTCAGTCTCCTCCTCAACCGCCCCGTGGCCGAGGAGGAGACTGATGAATCGAAGTCTCATCCTCGACCGCGGAGGTGGTCGATGAGGAGACTTCGATGAAGGATGATTATATCCAGGATGTGTACATATGTAGTTATAGATAGATGTATCCCCATAGTCCTTATATTCACCCCCCAAATTGTACTCATGATCGCACTTCTGTCCATCGGTAATTGGATGCACACCTAGATCTCGTATATCCTTCTTTATCGGCATAGAAGTGTACACAAACATAAAAAAATGTGAACATGTACATGTGTATAAATATGTGTGCGTATGCGTATATGTCTCGCCTTCCCCCTCAGTCGCTTTCTGTTCGCACCTCTATATCTGTTCACCCTTTCCCCTGCCCCTCCTCTCCCATCAGGGCTCGAGGTGGCGAGGCCGCGAGGGCCCTCCTCTCCGAGCGCGCCGCCAGCAAGGCCGCGCAGAAAACGCCCGCCGACGAGGCCGACGTGGAGGTCGCACCCGACACGCCTGCATCCAAGCGCTGCCGCATCACCAGCAAGAGCAGCAGCATTGGATCCCCGTATTCATCGCCTGAGGCAGCAGCTCCTGCACCGTCTATGGCAGCATCTCCTACACCGTCTATGACAGCAGCTCCTACGTCGTCGAGGGCAGCACCTCTTGCGCCGTCTATGCCAGCAGCTCCGACATCGTCGATGGCAGCACCTTTTACGCCGTCTGAGGCAGCAGCTCCTGAGGGAGCATCTCCTACGCCGTCTGAGGCAGCAGCTCCTGAGGGAGCGACCCCCGCGCCGTCTGAGGGAGCATCTCCTACACCGTCTGGGGGCGTGACCCCTCGCGCGCGTCCCTGCTGGGCAGCGGCTGTCTTCGATCCGATCCGCTCTGCCCCCACTACCCTTGCGTGCGCGCCTTCTACCGCGGTGCGTGCCTATGAGTCCTACGATCTCTCTGAGACGGCGCTGTACGAACTCGGCCGCAGGATTAGGATGCCGCGCCCGTAGTGGGCGAGAATAGGTTCATTAGTCGGCAGCGTCGAAGCAATCCCGTTTCGTTCAAGTTAATTTGGGTGCCACGGCGCGGCGCATTGCATGTGAAGGAGGAGGAGAGCGAGTAAGAAGGGAGAATCCATAGCGCGGATGAGGGTTAGGAGGGCGGGCGAGGGATAGGAAGGCGGATGAGGAGGCGGCGGGCGAGGCGAGATTTGACATCATGCGAAGTGCGTCCAGTGCTCCGTCGGCAGCAGCGCAGTCGCGGGGCTGACTGCTTGCGCGCAGCATGCAACGTTTGCCAGCGTGGCGAGACCGCCGCGTGAGAGTTCGACTCGCGGCCTTGCTTTCGCAAAACGAGAAAATCAACGCTCGCACACCAAAGACAACAATGACACCTCTACCAATGCCAGTGACAGCAATAACCGTGACAACAATAACAGCGACAGCAATACCAGTGACAGCAATCGCAACAAAAAGAATGACAACAATAACATCTATATTACTGGACATCAGACCACCATCATGCATCATAGGTCTATGCACCGTCGCAAGACTTACTAGTCCTCATCATAGTCTGTTTCCTGCTCCAGGTCCTCATCATCCTCCTCGCCATCATCATCAGCATCATCATCATCGTCATCATCATCATCATCATCCCGCCCTCCCTGGTCCATGTACGCCCGCCCCCCCCCCCCCCCCCCCCCCCCTCATCCTCCAGAGCCGTGTGGCCCACTTGGAAGATTGATTGGCCCAGCTCCTCATATGTATCGTTCACAATCCTCTTCACCACCATCCTCATCACCATCATCATCGTCGTCATTGTGAACACCGCAGTTGTGCAATTGTGAACACCGCAGTTGTGAATATCTTCTTCGGTGGCGCTCAGGCTTATTCAAATGGCGATCTTGCTCGCCAAACTGATTCAAATGGTTTACGCCGCCCAGACGCACACACACGCACACACACGCACACACGCACACACACGTGTCGACGCCACTCCGCGCCATCGAGATCTTGCGCATCGAGCGGTATTGTTGGCGCGCCCCACGCGCGGAAGAAGGGCTGGGTTCTTCGCCAAGGTAAGTTGCGGGAGCAGTTCGCAGACTGCAATGCTGGGGCGTATTAACAAGTCAACATCGGTGTTCGGGTCCCTCCTCTAACCTTACCGCTGCGCTACTGTCCGCCACCTTCGGTCCATTCTTCGGCCCCGTCTGCGGTCGCACCCTCCGACGGCGACTGGAGCACTGAAGCACCGTCCCCGATTCCTCTAAATCAATTCATGTGCGCCCGTGATGGTGTTAACCCTCGTCGGCAATTGTGCCCCCCTGCGCTGCGGGTGGGAGGAGAGAGGGATGGGGGGTACGGGACAGGGAGTAATGGCTGGGGAGTACGGCATGGAGAGCAAGGGGTGGGTGGGGAAGAGGTGTGAGGATGCTGGGGGATACGGGCACCTCCTGTGATACGGTCAGTGTTTTTTTTGTCATCACCGTATTGCCATCGCCTCTGTCCGCCCGCCAGGCCCTGGCGATCGCCATCAAGAACAGCAGTTCGACGAGTTCTTCGCCTCGTGCGCCCTGCACGCCCTGTACGCCCCGCACTCCTCGCACGCCCCGCTCGACGACGCCATGCACTCCCTGCCCGCCCGTTGCTTCAGACGAGGACGATGAGAAGTTGCTTACGGCCGCGAAGAAGGCGAAGCCCGTCCCTGCATACAAGCATCATTTGAAGGATGCGCAGTTTTTACTATCGAATGTGAATGGAGGGGGCACGGAGGAGATATCCCAGGACGCAGTTGCGGGGGAGGGAGCAGGGGTGTGAGTTAGGCGGTCATATGAGGATGCGAGGGCGGAGGAAAGATGGGCAATGGCACGGGGAGTACATAACGGTTGTGTGCGTGCGTGTGTGACGGAGACCACCCGTATGCACGGACATGGCAGCATTCTCGCAGATGCGGACATGGTTACATGGCGATATATGAAAGCACCAGCACATACATGACATATAACATGCGCATATCTCCAGGCCGAAGTCAAGAAGCCCAAGGCCACGAAGACGGTGAACGCTGACCCCAAGCTCGTTCGCTTCAACGAGCACCCCACCCTGGGGCCCATGTACGCCTGCTACGCGAAAGACAAGTCCTATATATGTTCTAAGGTGCCAGGCTCGTCGAAGCGGACGCTCTTCCTCGAGATTAGGAAGCCGCAGACGGAGGATCGCGCAGCTTTGATATCGCGTCTCATGCGCCTCGCCTGCCAGCATACATTTTCAAAGGAGCAGGCGAAGAGCTGGAGGGCTAAGCAGCTCAAATAAGTTGCGTCATGGAAGCATGAGCCAAGGAAGGAGGCACGAGAACAGGAAGAGCAAGGAATGATTGCTGGATGGATGGTGGGAATCCCGTGATGTGGCCAGCACGTTTGCTGCATGAGCAGCGCACTATCGTTGAGCGCCGCGGCGTTCGGGGATGACCGCCGTGGACGGGTGCTCGACGTATTCGCCTTTCGTGGTCCCTGAACATGGCATGATTGCATCGAAGTCAGAGCATGGAGGTTGCGTGGTCCTCGACAGGAGGACGATAAAACATGTGGCATGTATCCAAAGAGGTCATGTTATATCACGCATGGGAGTAGCGTGGCTCACGTGCCATATATCCCACGAGGCCTCCTGAGTATATACAAACAAGTCTAAGTGATAACAGTTGCGCACGGGTGGTCTACCTAATTAGGTACGAGTCGATTTGATTAGATACGAACAGTCGTGGATCATGCCCATGTGCAATCGTAAGTAAGTACGAAAGTTGCCCCATATCACTTAACTAATCGTGGTTTTATAGGTATGTGTACCATACATCGGTGCAATTTATGTGTGAGTGTATTATACTGTAAACTGTGCTGATCTGACGTTGGTCTAACGTCAGACCAACGTCAGACTGGCATCTGACGTTGGTCTGACGTTAGCCTGACGTCAGACATTTCGGTCTAACGTCAGACCAACGTCAGACCAACGTCAGATATGGATCTGACGTTGGTCCAACGTCAGACCAACGTCAGATCAACACACTTTCAATGTATTGGACACCGTGCCTGCGTAGTACAACAGACATCAAATTACAACACACATTACTAGCATTTGCATGTTTATGTAAGCAGTGTGCACGGGACATGACCGAAGTCTGTTCAATCACTGCAGTAGGAATAGTCAACACTAGAGTACGTTCGATCACTAAAACATGCCTGATCAATCACCAAAAGTATAATCAAACACCTGTCAGTATTATGCTGTTTGTATCTCAGATTGTATCAGGGACAATCTGTCATTTCGGAGATCGTATCCACTACGGCTCGCGCGGCTGACCGACGGCTGCGACATCTTCAGCACCATGGGGAAGGATCCCACATTTTTATTCCAGTCATGTGCGCCGAAACTGTCAGTGAGGATGTATATTTCTACGTGTTGCTGACTTGCATTCTGTCTATGTGTCCAGGTGTAGTTTCAATGTGTCTATGTGGTGTGCGCAGGTGCTTTCTATGTGGCTAGGTGTATGCTCTGTGTGTCTGGGTGTGCGTTCCATGTGTCCGTGTGTCTCGTTGTCTATGCAATGCAATGCAATGTGTCCAACGATTGTAATGTGTCCATGTGTCCAGCGATTGCAATGCATGACGGCTCACAGCCATCCAAGAAGCCCGCCTTCTTTGCCGCGGGGATGAAGACGATCAAGAAGGCGAAGGAGAAGGCGTCCAACAGCAAGGCGTCGGGCAGCGCGGCAATTGTGCCTCATGATGCCAAAGGGACAGTTGGTGCTTGAAACAATGCATGTGCCAAAGTTTCAATTGGCGCCAGCATCTGTCCAAATGCCTGTGCCCATGTCGGAAAGATGCCCGCGCTCATCGGATCACCCCCCCCCCCCGTCCCGCTCGCCATTCAAACTCGCCCACGGGATTGCACGTGCCAAGGTCCTCGCGCCGGCGGAGGGCAAGGACTTCAATGCGCGGGCGCAGCTCTTCAGGATCGATGTTTTTTGTTGTTTGCATGCTGGCTCATTCGCCACCCGCTCATTCTTTGCTTGTTTTCCTCGACACCTCACCTGGCCCATTCGTTGTCCATTCGCTCACCTGGCCCATTCGTTGTCCAACTGGCCCATTCGTTGGCCCAGTTGCGTGCGGATCGCGAGCTGAGGCGAGGGCAAGGCACAAGTGGGGGGCAAGGGTTTCAAGGCACTCTCGTTCTTTAGTGCTTTTGTGCTGTGACAATAAATATTGCTACAGGGAGAAGGGCGACGAGACGGACTCGGCCCAGCTTAGAGGCCTCTTCTCGAAGAACGAGATCGCGCGCCTCTACGGGCAGTTCACCGCGGCTCGTGCCCACGAGTCGCAGGCCCAGGATGCGCGCGACGAGGCCGTTCCGCCGCCCTTTCGGCCTCTGTTGTTTTCCCCAATGCTCATGTTTGTTGGGTTCTCGTTTTGGGTTCGCGGCGCCGCGCGTCTCCTTCACTCCCTCCATGCTCCTCATCATCCTTATCCCCCTCGTTGTCTTCCCTCCTCTTTCCCAACCCTCCAGTGGGTTGGGTCCTTCTTCCCAAGCCTCCTGTGAGGTGGGTCCTCAGTTTGAATTGGCAGCGCCGCGCATCTCTTCCGCTCCTCCTCCCCCTGCCCCCCCTCCTTCCTCTTCCTCACCCGCGGTCTTCGCGGCCCCGTCGGGAGCTCCACCGAAAGCCCAAGTGACAAGGACCAGTTGC